CTTCTTTCCTTGATGCTATTATCATGCATTTTATTTTTACATATGTTATAAACCATACAGACATTATTTTTGTTTAAAATGTCAATTATCTTTTACGGACATTTAAATAATTATACTTCTATGTTTCCCCAAATAGTTACTATTTCTGATACTCTTCTTTCCTTTGTGTAGATCCAGATTTCTATCTGATATCGATTTCCTTCTGCCTGAGAGACATCCTTTAACATTTCTTGTAGTGCACATCTACTGTTGATTAATTCTTCAGCTTTTATATGTTTGCAAGTATCTTTACTTAACCTTCGTTTTTGAAAGACGTTTTTGCCAGATACAGAATTCTAGGTTGACAGTACTTTAAAGATGTTGATTAACTTTTTTCTTAGTTGCATTTTCAAATGAAAAATCTGATGTCATCATTATCTTTATTCTTCTGTATGTACATGATTTTTCCTCTGGCTACTTTTAAGAGATTAGCAATGATTTTAAGTGATATGATTATGATGTATCTTGATGTAATTTACATCATGGTTCCTGTATTTGGGATTCATTGAGCTTTTGATATATAGGTTTATAGTTTTCATCAAGTTTGAAAAGGTTTTGGCCATTATTTCTTCAAGATAATTATTTTGTATTGCTCTTCTTGCCCCCAACCCACTGGAGACTTTGGAGACTACAGTTTCTCATATATTAAACTGCCTGAAATTGTCTCACAGCTCATTGGTGCTCTTTTAATTTTCTTTGTTCATTTTTCTATGTATGTTCCAATTTGGATAGTTTCCATTGCTATGCCTTCTAATTCGGTAATCATTTCTTCTGCAATGTCTAATCTGCTATTAATCCCATCCAGTGCATTTTTTATCTTAGACATCATCATTTTCTTCTCTAGAAGTTTTGGTATTTATTATATCTTCCATGTTTCTACTTAACTTTTGAACATATGAAATATATTTGTGATAACTGTTTTACTGTCCTCTCATGATTATAATATGTGTCACTTCTGGGTCAATTTCAAATGATTGATTATTCTCCTCATTTTGAGTTGTGTTTTCCTGCCATTTTGCATGCCTGGGAGTTTTTGATTGGATGCCAGGCATTGTGATTTTTACCTTGTTGGGTGCTGGATATTTTTTGTTTTCCTATAAAATATTCTTGAACTATGTTCTGGGATATAAACTTACTTTTAAACAGTTTGACCATTTTGGGTCTTGCTTTTATGATTTATTAGGAAAGTCCAGAGCAATGCTAGGGTTAGGACTAATTATTCTGTACTACTGAGACAAGACCATCCTGAGTACTCTATCCAGTGTCTTGAAAATGAAGTTTTTCCAGACTGGGTGATGAAAACAAGCACTAATCCTGGTCCTGTGTGAATGCTAGGAACTTTTCTCTAATCATTTTTTATCATTTCCTGCCCTCAAATGATTTCACTTGTTTCAGATAGGAGAGTAACTCTGGCCCCTTTTTACTTCATGTTGGCCAGAATTAGATGTTCTCATCAATCTTCCATCAAATAGAATTAAAGATGAGAAATGTGTCTTTTATATTTATCCACATATTTCTCATACTACTCTTTACATATCTTTTAGTGTAGGTATGCTGACAATGAATTTTCACTCAGGTTTTGTTTGTATGAAAAAGAATCTTGCTTTTACTTTCAAAAGATACATTTCTTTAAAAAAAAATAAATTTCTGCTGGCTATTGAGTTTATTTTTATTTATTTTTTTTAAAACATGTTTTTTTTTTAAAGATTTTATTTATTTATTTGAGAGAGAGAGAATGAGAGACAGAGAGCACGAGAGGGAAGATGGTCAGAGGGAGAAGCAGACTCCCTGCCGAGCAGGGAGCCCGATGCGGGACCCGATCCTGGGACTCCAGGATCATGACCTGAGCCGAAGGCAGTCGCTTAACCAACTGAGCCACCCAGGCGCCCTGGCTATTGAGTTTAAATGGATATTTTTTCTGTTGAATTTTTGGGCTTATAATTTTCATCAAATTTGGAAAAATTTTGTCCATTATATCTTCAAATAAATATATATGTGTATATGTATTATTATTTTTGGGGGGGTACCTCTCTCATCTCTCTTTCTGGGACTCCAGTTATCAGTATGTGAGATTGCTTACTATTATTACAGAGTAAATCTATTGGCTTTTTTCCCCAAGGTTTTTTTTTTTCTTTTCTTTCTGTGTTTTCCCTTAGATGTTTCCTGGTTTCCTGTTGCTATGTTTTTTAGTTCGTTAGGGTTTTTTTCCTGCAACATCTCATCTGCTGCTAATTTCATCTGGTATATTTTTCATTTCAGATATATATATATATATAAATGAATACTTTTTATTTCTAGAAGTTACATTTAAATCTTTTTATAGCTTCATTTTCTCTCTTCAGGTTTATGTTTTCCTTTCATCCTGAATCATATTTATAACATTTATAGTAGCTGCTTTAAGTCTTTGTATGCTAATTCTATTATCCCTGTCATTTCTGCATCCATTTTAGGGATTGATTTTTCTCTTGGTTTTGGATCATATTTTCCTGAATCTTTGTATGCCTGGTAATTTTTGGCTGGATGCCAGTCATTGTGGAATTTACATTGATTTTTTGCTGGATTTTATTGTTTTTCTTTAAAGAGTCGTGGACTTTGTTCTGGCATATAGTTAGGCTACTTACAGATCAAGTTGTTCCTTTCAAAGCATATTTATTTGCTTTGTTATAGTGGCTTCAGATTAGACTTTATCCTGGGATTGATAATATAATTTAGCTCCACTCCTATGCAATGCTTTATTATGTGGTGTCTTCACTCTGGCTGACGGGAATGTGAACTGTTCCTAACCCTGTGTGATTTGGGGATGTGTTCATGTATTACTTTCTGGTAGTTCTTTCTCTAGCCTCATGGAACTTCACTCTGCTTCATTACCCAGCCAAGGATTTGAGGGGATCCTTCTGCAGGTATCTTTCTCTCTCTCCCTGGAGCTTTTTCTTTTCTAGTCCTCTGTTCTACGAATTTTTGCTTCCTTGGCCATCTTGATCGCTGATCTCTGTCTCCTCAATTCAGCAAATACTGCCGGATTCTCTTTAGGCTCTCCATACCTGCACAGCAATCCTGGAAACTGCCCCATTTGAATACCTTCTCTCAGATATAGACATTCCTGTATACCTGTTGCCCACTATCAAAAAAAAGTTCTCTCATATATTTTGTCTGGTTTTCTAATAACTTGTTTATGGCAGGAAAGAATGGCCATAATTATTTTTTTTTTTTAAGAACTTTATTTTTGGGGCGCCTGGGTGGCTCAGTCATTGAGCGTCTGCCTTTGGCTCAGGTTATGATCCTGGGGTCCTGGGATCGAGCCCCGCATCAGGCTCCCTGCTCTGCGGGAAGCCTGCTTCTCTCTTACCCACTCCTCCTGCTTGTGTTCCCTCTCTCGCTGTGTCTCTCTCTGTCAAATAAATAAATAAAATCTTTAAAAAAAAAACTTTATTTTAATTAATCTCTACCCCCAGCATGGAGTTCAAACTTACAACCCCAAGATCAAGAGTTGCATGTTCTACTAACTGAGACAGACAGGTGCCCCAATAATGGCCATAATTCTTTTGATGTTCTATTTTGCTCTATTCCAAGTCTTTCCTTTGTTTCTTGTTTTAATAGTGGTGTCTTTGTTGGGGGGGTGGCGTTCTTTTGTTTGTCTGTTTTACTTTTTTTTTATCAGTTACTATCTCACAGTATGAAGTTTGGGGAGGGGAGTCTATCTACTGTTGTGTTTGATGATTCTTACTTATTATGGATTGTTTTCATTGCGAATTGTAATTTGGCACTGTGATGTGTCATCTTTCTGGGGCTTTAAGTTCAAAGTGTGTTCTTCTCAGAGGGTTTCTTTCTTTACTTTCCTTTTTTTCTTCCTTTTCTTGTTTTTGTCACTATAAAAATGCTATGTGAAAAATATAAATAGGGAAGAATATGAAAAATGAATGTGAAATGCCTTTTCTTTTTTAAGGATTTTATTTATTCATTTGAGACAGAGAAAGCATGAGCAGTGGTGAGGGGCAGAGGGAGAGGGAGAAGCAGACTCCCTGCTGAGCAGGGAGCCTGATGCAGGGCCCGATCCCAGGACCCCAGGATCATGACCTGACCCGAAGACAGATACTTAGCCAACTGAGCCACCATGCGCCCCTGAAATGCCTTTTCTTATTTGAATGTGTGAGATTAGAGAGGTGTGATGATTAATCACTGATGCTGGTGAAAAATAGATTATACACATTCTAAAGTGTATATAGTTAAACTTGTCTCTTCTACCCTCACTCTTTTTCATATTGAAGAAGAAAACTTGTTAGTCCTTACAAAGTATACATTTGGACATGATGCCTTTCACTTTCATTTATTATAGAAGGACTTAAGCTAGGGAGTGAGTATCTCTTAACAATGAAAAGCTCAGGGTCCTGGTTCCTAAGAAATGGAATCAACATGTTAGGAAGAAAATTGCTATTTTATAGTAGATCAAATGAAGTTTTAAGAATGAGGATTAGTCTTCAGAATAGTAAGATCCTTTGGAAGGTCAACCACAGTCTAAATTGGAAACCCCACAGTTGTTTCCCATGTGAACAGAGGTCTTCTTATGTACTGCCTAGGGAAGCCATTCTAAGAAGGAACAGAGATTGCAATTATTTAAACATGTATTGGCGTATGCACAAATGTGAAGACTGTTATTATTAAGTGCAGTGGGTTCCTTCTTAGAATGCAAAGGGTCATTTAGGGGCGCCTGGGTGGCTCAGTCGTTAAGTGTCTGCCTTCGGCTCAGGTCATGATCCCAGGGTCCTGGGATCGAGCCCCACATCGGGCTCCCTGCTCAGCGGGAAGCCTGCTTCTCCCTCTCCCACTCCCCCTGCTTGTATTCCCTCTCTCGCTGTCTCTCTCTGTCAAATAAATAAATAAAATCTTTAAAAAAAAAAGAATGCAAAGGGTCATCTAGCCATTTATTCATGATACTTTAATTTTTATATTTTCTTTTTTTCCAGAATAATATAGCTGAAGTACAAGAATTGCATTCTGAATTAATGTGGAAGGATTTCATAGACCACATCAGTAGCCTCCTACATAGTGTTGAAGTGGAAGTCAGTTACTTTGCAGCTGGGATTATTGCCCATTTAATATCTAGAGGTGAACAAGCTTGGACATTGAGCCGTAGCCAGAGGAATTCTCTTCTGGATGATCTGGTAGGGTCATTTGGGATTTTCATTTGGTATTTCATAGAAGCATACAAACAACATTTATAGTAGTTAAACTGTCAGAGTCTCGTAATGCAACAATGCAGTGCTAAATAAATATTGTGTTCTTTCTTGTGTGTCTTGTGTCTTGAAGCATTCAGCTATTTTGAAATGGCCAACTCCAGAGTGTGAGATGGTAGCATACAGGTAATTAACAAAATAATTAATATTAAGCTAGTAACCTAGTCATTTTGCTTTCTTAGAGATCATTCCTACTAGATATATAATGTATTTTTCCTCAGGCATCTATCTTTTTACTGACTTTTAAAAGGATCAGAGTATTTTTACTTTTTTCTGCTACCTGTCATTCATCAGTTCTTCCCTCATTCCACATTTATTGAAGACAAGTGCCAAGGACTTGTTCTGTGCTCTTGACATTCAAAGATGAGTAAGACATGGTGCCTACACACAAGAACCTTACAGCTGGGGTGCCTGGGTGGCGCAGTTGGTTGGGTGTCCAACTCTTGGTTTCAGCTCAGGTTGTGATCTCAGGGTTGTGGTTGTTATCTGAATACGATCTTTCTCAAATGGCTAAGACAAAAGATGTTCTATAGTTCACTTATATTAGTTTGAAAATAGTAGATGAAATTTCTAGAATGAAAAACTCAGGAATTTTGCTTTAGAAAATGACACTAAGTATAGGATGGAACTTTTACTCTTTTCTTTTGAAATTTTAGGTCCTTTAATCCATTTTTCCCATTACTTGGCTGTTTTACAACACCAGGAGTCCAGCTATGGGCAGTTTGGGCCATGCAACATGTCTGCAGCAAGAATCGTATGTACCAAAAAGAACTATGTTTTTCTTTTTTCAGTGAAATTCTCCTTAGACAGGAAAACCATTTCTACATGGTATATTGAAGTGATTTTTTTTAAGGACACAGATTTTAAAAGATACAATATAAGAGAATCTTTAGGGGTGCCTGGCTGGCTCAGTTGGTAAAGCATATGACTCTTGATCTCAGGGTCATGAGTTCAAGCCCCATGTAGGACAGCAAGATTACTTTAAAAAGAAGAGAGCGGGACACCTGGGTGGCTCAGTCTGTTAAGCATCTGTCTTTCGGGGCACCTGGGTGGCTCAGTCGTTAAGCGTCTGCCTTCAGCTCAGGTCACGATCCCAGGGTCCTGGGATCAAGCCCCACATCAGGCTCCCTGCTTAGGGAGTCTGCTTTCCTTCTCCCTATGCCCCTCCCCCTGCTTGTGCGCTCTCTCTGTCTCTCCAATAAATAAATAAAATCATTAAAAAAAAGAGGGAGACAGAGAATCTTAGGTTATAAACTAAATTTATTCTTTCAGAATTAGCTTAGTAATACTAGATACTGAATGACAGTGGTGAATGAGGCACTGTTCTGACCTCATGGAGTATGAAGATTAGGAGCCCACAGTGAGTCCATATGCAAAGCAAAAGTTTTAAGGCAATCCAGTGTTTATGGTTCATTCCAGTGCCCAATCCTTATCCACACAAAATCCCATTGTCTAATAAGACATTGCTCTCAGCACCCGTAGTCTCTGGAGAAGCAAGAATTTAGATCAGATTCTGTATTACTCTTTTTTGAGGGTTGTGATACAACTCTTTGTTATTTATTTATTAATAAAAACTCATTCCATAAATGATTTGAAACATTACACAAGAACACTTTAATTGTAGAAACACTTTGAGTATAAATTATTTGAAATTAGAAATCAGGATCAAGGAAAAATAATTTGAAAAGAAATTAAAGACTATAGGGAAAATAATAGAATGTAAATATGTAGACCATACATGGTGATTCATGTTCTTTTTGTGACGGGGCTGCAAATAATCAGCTACAGGGTTCTTTTTCCATATAAGGAGGAAAAACTATTACATATCCTCATGGGAAAGCTTTTCTGAGCAATTAACTACAAATTAAGTTTCTTTTATAGAACCTCGATAATGGTGATATTATCAATGGCCTTATATAGGAAAGTTGTGAGTGTTGTTTTTAACAATAGTCTTGTAGGAAAGAGCAGTAACATTTTATTAGATACTTTCTTATCCTTTGATGAAAACTCAGTGCATACTGCAAAAAGGGGACCCAGTAAAAGCTCTTATCTGTGGGATAGACAGGGGAGGAGGGTTTAGGGAATGGGATGTGACAGACAAAACTGCTATGTACCCAACTAAACTTCTACCTGGAAGCTTTTCTGACCCTTCCTACTAAATTCCCAGTTTATTCATAAACATAAGCTGTCTCTGATCCAAAAATTTCCTCCTTTTATTGTCCCTACAGGTTCTGAGAACTCCCTAGTTTCTTTTTTTTTTTTAAAGATTTTATTTATTTATTAGAGAGAGAATGAGAGATAGAGAGCACGAGAGGGAAGAGGGTCAGAGGGAGAAGCAGACTCCCTGCCGAGCAGGGAGCCCGATGCGGGACTCGATCCCGGGACTCCAGGATCATGACCTGAGCCGAAGGCAGTCGCTTAACCAACTGAGCCACCCAGGCGCCCGAACTCCCTAGTTTCTTAACAGCCTATCCCAACTTATACCCAGCCTCTAATCTCCAGGTTTCTTTCCTTATTACTCAAGGAATGGGCTTTTCACAGTTTTAGAAGAGAAAAGAAAACATAAAAAATAGTGTATTTTCATATAAGTGGGTTTTTTTTTTTTTTTATGACTACCTTTAGGTGTAGGTGTTCTTTTAAGTTTACTCTGTGGAGTGACCACCCTGAAAAATTTATTCTAAAATACATTGTAGGGGGGGTGCCTGCCTGTCTTAGTCAGTAGAGCATGCCACTCTTGGTCTTGGAGCTGTAAGTTCGAGCCCCACAATGGGTATGGAGATTACTTAAAAATAAAATCTAGAATAAAATAAAATAAAATAAAAAATAAAATGCACTGTAGGGGCACCTGGCTGGCTCAGTCAGTAGAGCATGAGACTCTTGATCTGGGGATTGTGAATTCGAGCCCCTCAGTGGGTATAGGGATTACTTAAAAAAAAAAAAAAAAAAAAAAAGACAATAAATAAAATGCACTGTAATTGGGGAATGTTAGAGTATTTTATCTCCAACTCAGGTAGTTCAGGTTTCTGCATTCTTGCTTCCCAGGCTTATTTGGTTTATATTTAAATGGAATTAACTTCTCAGTTTGCATTAAAAGTTCTAATGCTGCTTACAGCTTTTAATAATTAAGAGATAGTATGGCATAGTAGTTAAGGGCACACAGGAATCTACTTGGATTCAAATCATATTCCAGCACTTACTATGTATGCCAGCTTGAGCAAATTATTAAGCCTGGGATCTCAGTTTCCACATTTGTTAAATGGGAATAATAATAGTACCTATTTCACACATTATAATGAGCATGTTCCCATATTTTAGAAAGTTTAACAACATGATTTTTAATAATCACATTATCTTTATTGTATGACATATTAGTTTCCTAGTACTCATAACAAAGTTCCACATGTGGGTGACTTAAAAGAACAGGAACGTTTGGGGCACCTGGGTGCTCAGTCAGTTAAGCGTCTGCCTTTGGCTCAAATCATGATCCCAGGGTCCTGGGACCCAGCCCTGCACTGGGCTCCCTGCTCAGTGGGGAATCTGTTTCTCCCTCTGCCCTTTACCCATCTCGTGCTCACTCTTGGTCTCTCTCAAATAAATAAGTAAAGTCTAAAAAAAAGAAAAAGAAAACTCTCAGGGCACCTGGGTGGCTCAGTTGGTTAAGTGTCTGCCTTCGGCTCAAGTCATTATCCCAGGTTCTTGGACCCAGCCCCACATCAGACTCCCTGCTCAGTGGGGGGCCTGCTTCTCCCTCTCCCGCTCCCCCTGCTTGTGCTATCCCCTGTCAAATGAATAAATAAATAAATATCCTTGAAAAAGAACTCTCAAAACTTAGGGGTGCCTGGGTGGCTCAGTCCGTTAAGTACCTGACTTCAGCTCAGGTCATGATCCTAGGGTCCTGGGATGGAGCCCCACATCGGGCTCTTTGCTCAACGGCGAGCCTGCTTCTCCATCTGCCTCTGCCTGCCGCTCCCCCCACTTGTGCTCTCTCTCAAATAAATAAATAAAATCTTTAAAAACAAAAAGAACTCTCAAAACTTAATAATAAGAAAACAATACAAATAAGAAAATGGACAAAAGAGTTGAACAGACCCTTCACCAAAGAAGATTAATGGATGGCAAGTAAGCCCATGAAAAGATGTTGAACATCATTAAGATAAACATATATATCAGTGCATTAGAAATGAGAGTCCAGAAATAAATCCATGTATTTATGGTCAATTGATTTTTGACAAGGGTGCCAAGACTATTCGGTGGGGAAGGAATTGTTTTTTCAACAAATGGTGCTGGGAAAACTGAATAGGCACATGTGAAAGAAGAACTTGATTCCTTACCTCATACTGTATATAAAACTTAACTCAAAATTAACTCAAAATGAGGCCTAGGCCTAAATGTAAGAACCACATCTACATATATATAAGCATATAAAATTTTTAGGAGAAAACAGAGACATAAATCACTATAACCTTGGATTAAGCAATAGCTTCTTAGGACCCCAAAAGCATAAGTGACAAAAGACAAACTAGTTTAATTGGATTTAATAAAAAATTTTTAAAACTTCTGTGCTTCAAAGAATACCACCAAGAAAGTGAAAAGAGAACTTATAGAATGGTTGAATATATTTGCAAATTATATATCTGATGAGGGACATGTTTTCAGAACATATAAAGAGCTCTTACAACTCAGTGATAAAAATAACCCAGTTTAAAGATGGGCAGAGGATCTAAATAGACTTTCTATAAAGAGAACGTATGGCCAGTAAGCAGATGAAAAGAAGCTCAACATCATTAGTCATAGAGAAATATAAATTAAAACCACAGTGAGACACTACTTCACACCTACTAGGAAGGCTGCCTATAAACAGAAAGATGGAGGATGACAAGTGTTGGCAAGGATGTGAAACAACTTTCTCATTCGTTACTGATGGGATTGAAAAATTATAAAATCAGGGGCGCCTGGGTGGCTCAGTCATTAAGCAGCTGCCTTCGGCTCAGGTCATGATCCCAGGGTCCTGGGATTGAGCCCTGCATCAGGCTCCCTGCTCCACGGGAAGCCTGCTTCTGCCTCTCCCCCTCCCCCTGCTTGTGTTTCCTCTCTCGCTGTGTCTCTCTCTGTCAAATAAATAAATAAAATCTTAAAAAAAAAATTATAAAATCATTTTTGAAAACAGTTTGGTGATTTCTTATAAAGTTAAGCATACATTTAGCATTTGTCCAGCATTCTAAGTATTTCCTCAAAACTTGTTCAAGAATGATTATAGCATTTTTAGTCATTGTAACAAAACACTGGGGGAAAAGAATCCAACAGATGTCCATTAGTACGATAACATTAAAAATATGTAGCATATTCAGTGCAATGGAATGCTAACTTAAAATACTTTACTTAATACTTAAATTTTTAAAAATACTTTAAAGAAAAAAACCTAAAGGGGCACCTGGGTGGCTCAGTCATTAGGCGTCTGCCTTCGGCTCAGGTCATGATCCCAGGGTCCTGACATCGAGCCCCGCATCGGGCTTCCAGCTCGGTGGGAAGCCTCTCCCTCTCCCACTGCCTCTGCTTGTGTTCCCTCTCTCGCTGTGTCTCTCTGTCAAATAAATAAAATCTTTAAAAAAAAAAAAAAAAGAAAAACCTAAAACTATTACATACATATGTGTGTAACAATATGGATGCATCTCAAAAATGTCATGCTGAGCAAAAGTAGACAGACTCAAAAGAATATATACTGTATGATTTTATTTACATGAAGTTCTAGACCAGGCAAAAGTAGTCTATATCATAGAAATTAGAAAAGTGGTTGCCTGGGTGAGGCTGCAGAGGAGATTGACTACAAAGATGCACAAGGAAACTTTTTTTTTTAACATTCCATATTCTGATAGTGGTGGTGATTACAGAAGTGTATACATTTGCCAAAACTCATCAAATAATAGATTAAATTTGGGTATTTTTTTATGTATAAATTATACTTTAATAAATATGACTAAAATTTAAAAAACTTTTTTTAAGATTTTATTTATTTATTTGACAGAGAGACAGAGGGAACACAAGCAGGGGAGTGGGAGAGGGAGAAGCAGGCTTCCCGCGGAGCAGGGAGCCCGATGCGGGGCTCGATCCCAGTTCGCTGGGATCATGACCTTGAGCTGAAGGCAGACGCTTAACGACTGAGCCACCCAGGTGCCCCAAGATTTTATTTATTTTTCAACAGAGAGAGAGAGAGACAGCAAGAGAGGGAACACAAGCAGGGGAGTGGGAGAGGGAGAAGCAGGCTTCCCGCCAAGCAGAGAGCCTGATGCGGGGCTTGATCCCAGAATCCTGGGATCATGACCTGAGCCAAAGGCAGATGCCCAATAAAAAAAAAAGTTTTTAAGATTTTATTTAAGAGAGAGAGAGAGCATGAACAGGGGGAGGGGTAGGGGGAGAGGGAGAAGCAGCCTCCCCGCTGAGCAGGGGGCCTAACGCAGGACTTGATCCTAGGACTCTGGGATCATGACCTGAGCCGAAGGCAGACGCTTAACTAACTGAGCCACCCAGATGCCCCAAAACTAAAAAAACTTCCAAAAGTCGTGTATATAAAAAGAAGAAATACTTAAAAACAAGGCAAAGAAAATATTTAAAAATAAGAAAACTACATGTATAATATGAATACATTAAATTTTTTAAAAAATATATAGGAAATGCATAAAAGTGTAACAGTACGTATCTTACCTGTGACTTGGGATCAACGAAATTTTCTTCTCCAATTGCCTGTGCTTTAAGGTTATGATTTTTATTTATTTTTGGTAAAAAATGGTTTATCAGTTCCATTTTTGTATAAAACACATGGGAGAAACCTATTTAACCTAACCAGTCAACATACAACCTGCCCCATGGAAAGGTACTTTTATCAAACTTTGAGTTTAAGAACATACAAATGTTTCTTTTACCATGTCTAAAGTAATTGTCTATGCTTTTCCATATAACTGTTTTAAAATTTCCACATATCTCCATTATTTCTTCCGTCCCAGTTATAGTACAAGGACAGGGAGGAGGAAGATTGGTTAAAACATCTCTCTAAGCAGTTTTCTGCTGTCCTTTCTTTCCAAATAGAGACTTGTGCATGTGAGGGACCAACACCCTCCCCCCCCCCAGCTCTGGTAGCTTTGATAAGGGAACCATATATATGAATATGAGAGTCATATATATATATATGATTGAGAATCAGTATTATTTGTGGGGACTTGCAGTGTAGACATCATTACAGAGGTATTTATCAAACTGTAGCATATGTTAGTGGTCAAAACAAAATAGCTAAGATTTAAGTGAAAAAGAACTTTTTTGTGTGGGGGATAATTTTTAAATGTTGTAAGAAAAGCTCTCTCTCCTCTTTTTCAGCCTCAAGGTATTGCAGCATGCTGATTGAGGAAGGAGGATTGCAGCATTTATACAACATCAAAGAACATGAACAGACTGATCCCCATGTCCAACAGATCGCCGTGGCCATTCTGGACAGCTTAGAAAAACACATTGTGCGCCATGGCAGACCACCTCCCTGTAAAAAGCAGCCCCAAGCTAGACTAAATTGATAGCCATAGGTAGTTGGATAATTGAATCACAGGAATCCTTTTTGTGATAGGTTCATTTGGAATATCTTATCTTCTGTGATGTTTTAGGGGTTTCTATGACAAGAGTCATAAGATCAGTTTGGGATTGATGGTGTACAGTACTGCCGACGTGAACAGTCTCTAATTTGTCTTGTGATTTTTAACTTCTGAGGTAAGAAGGGTCTCTTCCTTCGTCATTGCCTTTTAGGAAATTTTCCACATCTTTCTGTGTTTGAACTTACCTGTGCTTGAAATTCTACAGTTTTATGATAAAGTTTGCACGAACCCTTAGGCCAGACTTTTCTGATCTCAAAGTCCCTTCCAGTCAATTTGCAGCTTCAGATAAGCTGTTAACCTGATTTCTGGCACTGCTTCAGTTGTAAGTTTTATACTGCTTCTGTATAAAATGCCTTTATTCTCTGTCTGTGTACCTTTTATAAGATGTTCTTCTTAGTGTGAAAGAATGGAAATCCGAGTCCTCTTTGAAAGCTACTCACTGACTGGAGCCTGGGTGGTTGGCAGAAAAAAATGTATTAGAAAGAAAACTAGTAAGGGAGAAAAAAGATTAGGAACTGGAGAAAGGTCTGCTCTTATAGTTCTTAAATTGGAACAAGCTATCCTTCTGGAACGCACCTCTCCTGAGGCAGTGAGCAGTAGCTTGTTCTTCATATTTATTCCTGGGAGCATGGGCTGCTGCTTCCTACACGGACTGCTGGTTACTGTCTAGAAATATTTCCCCAGGCATCACAATGTAAAATATCACAGCATTCTGTGTTAAAGATTAACTGTCTGAATCTCTATATGTCATACTATTGTGAAAATGTGAATTTTTATAAAATTGTCTCTTGTTAAAACTGACTGTTCTTTTCTCTCTATTTCAAAGTCATTTTGTTCAGTGAAATAGAGACTACACATGGTATTACCTGCTCAGTTAAAATACAGTTAACAACAGTACATTTTGTCACAAGAAGTTAAATTTTCTTTTGTTTCAAAATACATGTATCTTACGTTCTCATGTTGGAGAAAGATGTCCACATCTCACTGCCAAAAATGAATGAGCAGCACTAGGCTATTATTAAATGTAATGATTCTAGTTGCGGTGCATAAAAGGAAATATTTTTGATGGGTTATTTTTTAGACAATTGCCTTTCCTTTATGATACCTGTTACAGCATAGTAAAGAATCAGTTATCATTATATCAATAATGAAAGCTGGGAGGCAGCAAGTCACCAAGAAACTTAATTTCCATTTTAAATTTTAGTTTGTGAATAAGGTTAATGACAAATTTCAGATGATTGTGTTTTCTTCGTAGATGGCCAAAATGTTTTCAATAGAGATTTTTTTTTTTTAAGAGTTTATTTATTTATTTGAGAGAGAGAGACACAGCAAGAGAGGGAACATAAGCAGGGGGGAGTGGGAGAGGGAGAAGCAGGCTTCCCGTGGAACAGGGAGCCCGATGCGGGGCTCGATCCCAGGACCCTGGGATCATGACCTGAGCCGAAGGCAGACACTTAATGACTGAGCCACCCAGGTGCCCCTTCAATAGAGATTTAAATGGTTTAAATTATGGTGATTATTTAGAAGCATTTTTATTTAGAAAGGAGCTGGCTTATTAGTATGCTGATCACATTTTTGACATATGTATTTCAAACCACTATCACAAAAATCATACTTGAATTATTTTGTACTCCTTCACAAGGATGAAAACTTAAACTAAAAGAAAAGAGGTATTTAGAACCATTAAAAACCATATTATATTCTGGGTTGCTTCTGACTTGATGGGTTTAAGGAATTTTTATAGGCTCGATAAATTTTCACAGATTGTCTATTTCAGAGGAAGTGGAAAATTCTTTTAACTTTCCCTCTTTTTCCCAGATTTTAATTAACGTCTAAGGCAAAATGTAGAAAATAGGATGGCCTACACTAGGTTGGAAGTTGCTAGCTATGTTGACTATCTTCAGGTCTCAGCTTGCATAAAGGAAAGCCTGTTTGAGAAGTCTGACTTCAAGTTTCTCTTATGTCTTGTTCAAGACAAAAGTGCATGTTCCTTATACGCTAATCTTAGGTTTTTATCTTTACAAATTGTTTTCAGAAATAGCTAAAAATGTACAGAAAACAATAACTCCCTTCATTATTCAGAATAACTTGATAGATGAAGAGTCAAAAATATTTAAAATTAATTCTAAACTTACTACTTTGAGCATTGGTAATGGTGGGGTATTTCTGAGTCTTAAGAGCAAAATAATTGATCACACCCCATATATAAAAATGGTAGTGCCTTTGTGGTTGGGATGGTTCTTAAAATTGTATATCTAACTAAGGCACAGAATTGTCTGTAAGGTCTTGAATCTGGCTAAAATATAGTAGATGTATATATTGAAATTATGAGGCATAACTGGCCTGTGTCTACAGTTAGAATCTGTTAGGCCTCCCTTTTACATGTGTATACTGGAATGTAATAGTACTCGGTGCCTTCAAGGGTTACCTCTTCAGTGGCTTAGAGGTGCTGTTTCAAGCACAATTTAGACTAGGGTTGAACCACTCATTGCTCAAATCATTGGTGCACTCAGATGTTGTAAAATGTCACTCCATCAGTCCACAAGCAGCAGCAAGGTTTAGATCTACCAAAGAAAATGGAATTAGACTTTTTAGAGTATAATGATGCATGTTGGTATCATTGAGTAAAACAAGAATGGTCTGAAATTAAAGCAAAAATAAGGGATCTCATTCTTTCCATCAAGTGAGTTTTGCTTGTGGTCTTTATATTCTAAAATATCATTGTTCCTGTTGGCAGTTGAAAAGAAACATAAATCAAGTAATAATAAGGGGTTAGTTTAATTTACCCTCTGGCCAAGGACTCAGTGGCTACTGATCTTAGTTGAGGCTTTTTTAAATTATCAGACCCACAGTTCCAGGAATTAACCTTAAATATTGCTACTCTTTAGCCCTAGATAGAAATGCCGTTTGGTAGCAATAGTCAACTTAATTACCCAAAGTGGAGGTGAGTCACCACAAAAGGGTGCTACGGGGATTTAATTTCATGATCTCTTTTGTTTACAAACTTCCAAAGAATCAAAGATTCATGTTTAAAAACATTACCTTTTGAGTTGGCCCTTTTTCTCCCTCATCACTTTCATTTGGCTGTATGTTTAATTATGCTATGTATCAAGAGAGCATTGGGCCATCTTCTAGCCCTTTGGAACACATTTTTATGAAAACATATTTTATGTGCTAAGTTATGATAGATTAATGAATGATGGTTTTGGCTTAGTATTTTTTAAAATGCATGACCACCCATAGAACACCGTGCAGCAGCAGTACCCAAGGTTGAAAAGAGGTCATGAGTAGCAGGGAAAAAACTTAGTTTTGTTTTTGTTGAAACCCACCCCTCTCCTGCCCTCTACTGGTATGTTTACACTATTTGGTCATTGTGCAGCTTTTCTTATGGAATAAACAGTATTATTAAACTGAAAGTCTAAGTTAAAGGCAGTATCATAATATCAGCTGACATGGGCAGTTTTATCTGTATGTTACTTGTTTGGGAACTTTATATGGGTAGGGCTTCAGAGTACTGTACCAAGACAGCTTACAGAGCAGTTTGTAAAACTTACAGTTTCCCTCTCAAATCCATTGTAGCAGTTTCAAATGACTGTGTGGATGTTGGATGTTTAATCTTTACCATTTACTTTGTATTGACACATTTTTTATTTTTAGTGTTAACTCATGTACTACTTTAGGAATAATGCAAATCCAGCCTTCACCCAGTGATGAGAATAGCAGTATAATAGGAATTTGCTGAATGTGCTTTAAATGGGTAATTGCTTTATCTTTTTTAGTATCTCATAGACTTTGCATGACACGGTACAATCCTAATTATGCATTCTTTAGTTTCCAAATCTTAACCTAAGACATTCTATGTTAACTGATTGGTAGCCTGAGAAAGAGCTTTCTCTGCCTGTTTCTCCCATCACCCAATTTTTGGGGGTAAATTATGGGACAATCAGTGCTATTTCTCATTTCTCTGGATGAAGCAAGGTTTGTTTGGATGGCACAACCAAACTTTAGAGCTAGGTAGAATGGCTAAGAATATTTAGAAAATCCACATTGATCAAAATTATTCTGGGAAATCATAAATCTAGTTCATTAATAGTATGTGCTTAATTTTGAACTTACTTTTGGGAAAACTGTTCAAATGGGTTCTTTTAAGATTATTTTAATCAGCTTAGAAGCAAGAAGCTACTTAGCTAATGAAAGCTGAGACACTTTCATAAAAGCAAGAAATTCTTGAGAGCGTTTTTTTAAAAAATGGGATAATGTTAATGTCAAGATTTACACTCAGATAATCTGCAAGAATAAAATTTTAAAATCCTTGATTTTTGTAGAATTCCCACTGTCAGATTCCCATGGACTTGTGAGAGAAAAACTATCTTTTCCTTGAATTCTGATGGAAGAGTTTAACTCCTTTCAAAGGGTATGAAAAATTCATTGGGAAGTGTAATGTGTTCATTTCAAAGGCTCTCAGTTATCTGGACTGAAGGCACTGTTCTCACTGTGGCCAAATGAATGGGAGTGTTCTGTACATGAATCATGCTATATTTTAAATCAGGACATCACTTAGGTATTAATGTTGTGTGTGTACAGAGTTTTGTTTTGGGAATTTTTTTTTGCCTAAATAAATGTATAAATTTTATGTAAAGTGTGTCTTGTCTATTTTATTTCTAGACATTTGCTTTAAATTTAATGCAAGATTTAGATTCGTTGGTTATTCACTTGTAACAATTGCTTACCAGTGGTTTTACTGCAGAAATTTCTAGTATTGGAACTCCACTCATTCATTTCATTAAATACCTATGGTAGGTACTGTTAAAGTTTTGGAATTTATATAATTTATAAGTCCCTCAGAGAACTTACAGTTTGGTGGAAAAGGAATATTAAGCATATAAATATTATCTAACATTGTATCACAGACCAGTCCAAAGTGCTTGTTATAGAGGCACAGAGATCACACTTAATCCAAAGTGGGCACCCATGACACAGCCCAACAAGACTTCCTAGAGAACGTAACATCTGGGTTGACATCCATTCACACAACTATTGAGATATTAACAATATTATGTATATTAAATACATTTAATGAGGGAGATTTAATGAGGGACTACCAAACAACAAAGTATAAGAACCCATAGCCAGGAAGAAGCCTTAGTTATTTCAGTTTCAGAAACTAATTTTGTAGTTGAAGAAATGTAGTCTTAGATAAAATGAGCTTGTCTGTCACACGCAAGTCAGTGACAGACCCTGCCCTATAGTTCTAATTTCCAACTTCCAATCAAGTGGGCCTCTCTTCCCCACCATGTTGTTACATAATAGCATGAGATTTCTTAGGTCTTAGGCATTATGTGATTAAGCATCAAGTGAATGGTACAGAAAATAATGTATACCAAATGGTCAGAGAAGTGGAGATTGTCCATGAGGAGGTGTTCTAAGGTAGCATTAGTGTTTAAATGCTATAGAATTGTTAATGAATGGCCACTACAAATAGTATTGCTTCACTAATACACAAACATGAGGTTAGCTGTTAGGGTGATAGGGTTTGTTTTTAATTTTCACTATAATTTTTATAATAATTACTAGTTTTAACTTGTTATCTGTCCAATAATTCACTCAATAGTGACATGGTATTACTATGGGCCATACATACTGAGGAAAAGAAATACTTTTGGCTAGTATTTAAACAAATAAGTGGATGAGCTGTGTAGTCTATAGCCCACACTCCAAAAAGGAGAAATTTTAAAGTCTTCCACTCTTCCCCCTCCCTCACCCTTTGTCACAGTTTTTATTATGTAAATTGACCCAATCTCTTGACTAAATTCTTCCTTTCCTCCCCATTACCCTTCCATCTCCTATTCTCCATTCTTTTTTTTTTTTTTAAAGATTTTATTTGACAGAGAATGAGAGATAGAGAGCACGAGAGGGAAGAGGGTCAGAGGGAGAAGCAGACACCCTGCTGAGCAGGGAGCCTGATGCGGGACTCGATCCCGGAACTCCAGGATCATGACCCGAGCCGAAGGCAGTCGCCCAACCAACTGAGCCACCCAGGCGCCCCCCTATTCCCCATTCTTAATCTGCATTTTAGGAGTCCAATGAACTGATCTGACTAACTGCGTAACTCCTCGAATTGAGGGGATGAATGGTAGAAACCGTGAGCGTTCACATTAATCATTTTTGTCTCATAAT